AAAGTAAACTGTTAATAGATGGATATGCATACATTGTTTTATTAATAGTAACGTATAAATAGAGTTTTCATTGATTTGAAGTTCGAATATTAAATTATTGTTTACACAATTTTGTTTGTAGTGGTGTAATATTTATTTCAGAAAATTTTTTTCGCTTCACATTGTTAAACAAAAAAAAATTATTATGGCACGGCACGGTGCCGTGGAGCGTTGACTAAACTGTTCATGTGATGCGATTACGTTATGAGAAAAAAATTGATTACACAATTTACGAATATTATTGTCACATGACTTAAAGTTGAATCAAGTTTCTTCCTTAACTCATATTCATAATCGAATTTCATAAAAACGAAAGATATTCAGTGTTTTGTTATTTAAAAATTGTAATCATCGGAGTCTGCAAAATAGAAAAATGGTGGCAATTTTAGAATAAAAGGTTTTCCCCGAATAATGCCGCAGTTTAACGATAGAGGAGGGTGTCGAAAAAATAGAAAATTCGAACGAAAAAAAAAAACCCGGTTGTAATAGCTCATTGTGAAAATGCGTATTTTGCACGAGATTAAGCAAACATGTGTGTATCTGTGTGTGCTAATAGAAGATAATCATTGTTAGTGAAGAATGAACCGTGTGAAATCATCGCAAGCTCAAATAACCTTTTGTCATGTCTCGAGAGCTCTCGGTTGGTTTGAAAACGTAGAGCTGATTACACGTGAACCGACTTTTTGGTTACATAGTAAATGCATATAGAATATTATTGGTATTGAGGTTGTGACCTATCAAGGAAACTACGAAGACACGAAAAAAAAAATCTTTTCCTTACTTTGTGGAAGCACTTGGAACGTATTCAAAGCGTTTCAAAATGATGCAAAGTTAAAATATTTGTTCTTTTATACAAGAATACGAGTAAGAGATATTTACTGGGATACTTTATCATATAAAGGATCGATTTCTCTGGAGATTCTACGCATAATAAGGGATTTACAACTCATGTACAAAAAGATATTTTTCCAAATTGAGTATCCAAAAGCCCATTTTACAATCCAAACTGCAGTCCATTTGTATCTTTCACGCGTTTCCTCTATCATAAACTCTCGGGATTCCAAACACGAATTCTCCAACATAATAAATGATATTTTCTCCTAAATTATCGGAATTAATGCAGCGTAAAGGTCGGGGCACCTCAAATGAGATGTCATTCAGTATAACCGATAATTTGTAAATGCAAGATATACGGTAGCTGACGGTGACGGTGACTAAATTTCCCTTAAAGGTATCTCAATGTTATTCCTAAACAACTATTCTAAAAAGGTTTTTTGTGCTCAAGTGTAACGACGAAACCATTAATAACCAAGTGTATTATTAAATCTGTTTTTTTTTTCTTTATTTTGGCGTGTGTCATTTTCGAAAATATTGACATTGTAAACGGGTTATGTCTGGTCCAGAAGTTGTACAGAAATTTATGTACAGAATAACTTGTTAAAATTAAGACGACTTAAAAATAGAAACGTGTGACAAAGATCATTGCAAACTTGTGGCTTCGTCTAAGTGATTATCCCTTTATGAAGAGAAATCAGATATTACTCCTAATCTGTTGTTTACTCGAGATAGCATTTCCTTTGCCAAATAAAAATCCACTTGTGTTATCTCCTTTGCAAAACAAAAAATTCCATTTGTGTTATGCTTTCGATGAACAAAATTCTTTACATTCAAATATTTTAAGTGGTAAAGATGTTATGTATAGAGCTTTCTTTCTTTCTTTGTAAAATCTTAGGGAATTTAGCGAACAGTTAAAAAAATGCAAGATTTTCCGTAATGGTTATCATTTCATTGTTTTTTAAAAAAAGCTTGGATAGAAAATTATGTGGAACACAGACAATTTCACAATGCCTAAAACTAGTAATATGAAAAGTCCAATATCGAATCTCAACGAGATTAGAGATCGGTGAGAAAATGACATTCTGTTTGTTTTTTTGCATATAATGAAGGGAAAGTCGATTTTTAATTTTTATATTTACTGTATTTAGGGGTACGATGTTATTTTTAGAAGACTCTAAATCCGGCGCGGATTTACGTTGCATATGACATCATCTGGTTGAATAAACTCTCGATCAAAATTGTTAACAAACTGAGCTCTAAATATGCACGACATAAATTCGTTACCAAGTTTGATGTGTGTTTCTATTATAATTTGTTTTGTAAATATTTGGCGGTCAAAAGGTCGTCAGGAAGTCACTTGTTTCGCGTCTTTGTAGCGAGGTTTATTAAAATATTATTATAATAAAAAAAAAAAAACTATTAAGAAAAAAAAAAAAACTTGTACATCGATCTAATATTTATAACTGTGGGATTCTTGATCCTTTTTTTGAAATTGGGCTTTTTTTCATCTGAGTCCGACAAAGGCCATCGTTATTCACCTGACAATATTGAAGGCATTGAATTTTGAATATACTATAAATCCTCTTCTTTTTCCCTCGTAAAGGGACCTAATCGTTATTCAATTCGCCTACCTAAATTTTTTATATCGATGGATCTCTTTCGCAGAGAAAATCTGTTGACCCTACCAGACGAGATGACGGAAATAATATTAGATAATTTAAAAATCAAGGACATACAAAATCTCTCTCGTGTATGTCGAGCTCTCCGTCGGGTAACTAAACTTTACCACTTCGGTGTGGCTTACCCTGTCTGGAAGGATACAACCATCGAATTAGAAAGTGTTGATGGTAATCTGCCAATTTCAAATTATCGAGATGGTGTCTTCATCGAAGGCAAATTTTATATTGCCATTCTTGAGGAAGGCGCACCTGTGTGTTGGATTCTCGATTTTGCCCCGAAACCGAGATGGAAAAAAGTGCCCATATTAATTGACATGGAACCCGATCAATTTCACCCGGTGAAATCGACGTCCGGAGCTGCCATAAAGTATGACATTTACATGTTTGGCGGAGAGAGTCTTCTCACGGGTCTACCAACCAAAAACATGTACAAGCTAAACATAAAAACCATGAAACTATCTAAACTACCCGAAAGTGGTGCGCTTCCTGCCCCAAGATTTATGCATTCACTCAACGCTGTCGGTCTTCATCACTTGATCCTTTTCGGGGGACGATGTTTAATAGATAACGGTAAGCGAATTTTCTTTATCTCCTAAAATTTCAATATAATGCGAATTATTTGCGTTAACCTCGTTCGTGCATGGTTCGTTCACACGCGAACTCCAATGAAGGTGAATTATATGACACAAAAGATTTTTCTGTTTATGATATTTATAAGAACACTTGGATCGTGCACGCATCGAGATCAAACATCCCCTACTCTCGTTCCCTTCATACGTCAACTGTAATATGCGGCAAACTGTTCATTTATGGTGGTCAGCATATTTCCTGTCACTCACCAAATTCGTCGATCCACGATGACGAAGATGTCTGGGAATACGATTTCTTGAAAAATGAGTGGCATAGATATCTTGCCCCAACATCATCGTCTTTTTTACTTCCGAAAGAATGGTTCTCGACCGCAGGGATCGGTCCGGGAAAAAGATGTGGTTCTGCTATCTTTCCTTTACGTCGCAAAATCGTTGTATTAGGCGGCTCTGCGAAGAATTTTGCGATTGACAATCACTTAGAACACATGACTGTATTTTGTCCGGTAAGAAAGACGTGGACGCGCATACTGGTTCAAGGAATGCCACGTCTAGAATGTATTGCGACAAAGGTTAATCGTATGGGTGATCGGACTAATGTTTTCGTAATCGGGAAGAACGTTGAAGGCAAATTCGTTACTGGATGGATTTTCGATTAACATTTTCTCGTTCTTATACTGTATATGCTTATAAGTTCCTATATATGCTTTAATACGTGCTTGTCTATGTTAAGTTCAACCCTACAGATTTAGTTTATGCTTATAATTATGACACAAGTTAAGTTTATAATATCAGTTGGCAAAATCTGCTATGTATATTTTCTCTAATAAAATTTTTTTCAAATGACGTTAACTGGTGGACATGTGTTCGCTTGACGGTGTGACCAAATTTTACTGGCAACTGGATCTACGCTTTGTGGGCGCAATGTACTGTATATATTACACAAATATAATGTAGTTACAAACAATGTATTGATGCACAAAAATTCAGTTACCATTTCAAGCATTTCAAGTAAACATCATACATAGGCTTATCTTTTACGGTTGGTAAACAATGCAATATTAATAATTAAATCTCTATTTGCTATTTATTTTACTGATTGTTATCTTTAATTATAGTAAGTATCTTATATTATTTTGATTATCAATGACAAAGAATATCGAATTGTCATTATTACATCATTG